GCCTTAGGCAGGATCGACATATTTACAATATTGAGTGTTCCAATCCACCAGCATGGGATAGTCTTCCATTTGTGAAGATTCCTGCTGTTTCGTGTAATAATGTTCTGTAGTTTTCCTAGTACAGATCTTTTTTTTCGGGGCTGGGTGTGGTTTAGGTTTATCCCAATGATTTCAGTTTATGATTGGTTACTATAAAGGGTATTAGCTTCTTGAACTATTTTTCTGTTACCTCCTTTGGGGTGTATAACAATCCAAATGTCTTTTGCTTGTTAATCTTATATCCTGCCTCCCTACCACATGCCACTATCATTTCATGCAATCCTATGGTGGAGCCTTTTGGGTTCTCTCTATATAAATCATATATAAAAGCATGTCCTCTGCAAATAACAATAATTTCACTTATTCTTTCCCAAAACGTATAACTTTGATCTACTTCCATTGCCTTATATTATTAGCTAGGGTCTCCAGGATGATGTTGAATAGAAGTGGGGATAAGGAGCATCCTGGTCTGGTCCCCTTTTGCAGTGGGAATGTTTTCATCTTTTCTCCATTTGTTAAAATGCTGGCTGTTGGTTTTTCACTTATGGTTATTATTATATTTACTTAATTCCCTTATAATCCTATCTTCTTGAATGTCTTTATTAGGAATGAGTGCTGGAGTTGTCAGATGCTTTTTCTGCCTCTATTGCTGTTATCATGTGGTTCTTGTCCTTTGTGTAGTCAGTGTGATGGATAATGTTGATGGCTTTTCAGATGATGAACCATCCCTGCATCCATGCCTTGAATCCCACTCGGTCGTGATGGATTGTATTTGTCGTATACTTTGAATTCTATTGGCCAAGATTTTTGTTAAGGATTTTTTTCATCAATGTTCATTACAGATATTGGCCTATGGTTCTCTATTCTTGTGGGAACCTTGCCCAGCTTTGGTATCAGTGTTATATTAGCTTCATAGAGTGTGTTTGGGAGTTGACCATCCTTTTCTATGTTCTGGAAGAGCTTGTGTAGGTTTAGTGTCAGCTCTTCCCAGAATGCTTGGTAGGATTTTCCTGTGAAGCTGTCTGCTCCAGAAATTTCTTTAGTTGGTAGTTCCTTGACAAGTTTATCTATTTCTTCTTTTGCAATGGTTCAGTTCATGTTTTTGATGTGTATATAAGATCATTTGGGCATGGCTTGTTTTTCCAGGTATTTGTCGTCTTCCAAGTTGTTGAATTCATTAGAGTACAGTCTTTCATCGTGCTGTGTAATTAGTCTTTTAATTTCATTGGGATCCCTTGTAATTTCCCCTGTTTCATTTCTTCATCCTGGATATTGAGGTCTGCCCCTTCCTATCTTTTTTAGGTTTCCTGGCGGTATGTCAATTCTGTTCATCATTTTGAAGAACCAGCTTTTCCCTGAATTTATTCTTTCCATTTATTTTTATTTACCACTCATTTATCTCTACCATGATTTTCATAATTTTTCTTTTGCTATTGGAAGGATTATTCTGTTAACCCTGTTCCAACGACTGAATGTTTCATGAAGGGGTATCCACCATAACTCTCTCTTCCTTCTTCATATGTGCACTTATCACTTTTAAGCATCCTCTGATAACTACCTTAGCTGTATCCCAAAAGTGGTATGTTGTAGTCTCATTCTCATTTGTTTCTAGAAACGTCCTTATTTCATCTTGAATTTGGGGCAATACCCAGTCTTTCTTGTGGGATATAGAAAGACTTTTCCTCAGCGTCTCTCCCCTAAATATAGATGTCAGACCTAGGACACTGCTTGCAACTAATGATAAATGATTGTCAAGTTATCTCCCTGAAGCCACAAGCCACCCAGAGCAAGCAGACCCTATTGTCTGTTGTACCACAGGTGGGGCTCACTCCCTGCGCTTAGGGACAGTGGATGGCTTCCCCTGAAAGCTTAGACTAAATTGAGTCTCTAGCTCATGGGCAATCAAGTTTAGGCCACCATCATGAATCTAGGACCCGCCCATCTGGTCACATGTATGCCCTTAATCCCACCTCTTCCTATAGCATGTAGAACCCTAGATCGTCCTCATCCCATTACTGTATTACGTACAGTACACCCCCTTCCTGTGATGTATGTCTTTAACTGTAATTGGGGGACTTGCACGTCCCAAAATATATATAAGACTTGGTTCAAAATAAACCTTCTCCTGCCCTCTGTGTCCACACTGTACGCAGACCTGGCCAGGGAGAGCATGGCCATCTGAGAAGTGAGCATGCTACCATGAAATATGTCTGACTTCTTCATGTTACTCTCT